GTCATTGAGTTTGAAAGAAGGAATGGGCTATTCAAAGGGTATCTAAAGTTGATCTTGCACATGTTGTTCCATCAGACTTGGTACAACTTCTTTATGCCTACAGATACATTTCAATCAAGGATTTTCCTCCTGAAGATTGAGAACTAGGTCTTAATGCCATCAAGAGATTTATGATTTGAAAAGTCAAATACTTCAATATTCATGGCCTTCAGATGGCAATTGAGAAAAATATGTACAAAGTCAACCTCACTCCACCAACAAATACAGTTCCATGGGTTGATGAATGTGAAGAATGTGAAATCATCACTGATCCAGAACCTAGAATAATCTATAAGGACTACAATGATGTTAAGTGTGTTCTTATGCTGAATGAAGTTCATAAATAAAGTGATGGAACGTTACGCATTATTGAAGATCATCTAGGTGAACTAGCAATCAAGCTTCTGAAGTCAAGTCAATCAGGTGATCAAGCATAGATATGCTGAATCGGTGATTTTGCCAAAGTTATCAAAGACCAACAAGAATTCAGAAGAAGATTGAGAAAATATGAAGTTTTGCTCGAATTCAAGAAGTCCATGTACAAGTCTCAGAGATAATCTGCTCTTCATCGCCAATTGAACACAACGGGGGAGATTATTAGATCATACTAGTATTTCACCCGTGCGTTGCACGGGGGGAAATTTTGTATAAGTGTAACACGCAAATTTTCATAAAATACAAATAAACAATTTTCTCGGATAACGATAAAAAAATTCAAAATATAATTATACTATAATTAACATAACTTGCACGCAATAATAGCAAAGAAGAGCAGGGAAAATGTCACGATAATAAAAGAAGATCTCATTTTCACACTTAACAAAACATTATAACAATATTTTTTTGTGATAACCACAATTAAGTATGTATATAAATCATACATTCTGAAACACTTCCTTATATACGACATTAGTGGTCTTGTTTGTGCTTTCATTATTATCACCTATGATTAAAATCTTCAATCCTTTTGGACTCGTGACCCTGGAAACTGCTACATACAATTGTCCATGACAAAAAACCGGCTTCTTTAACAATAAACCAACATGCGAAAGAGATTGCCCTTGACTTTTATTTATAGTCATAGCATAAGCAACCATGATCGGGAATTGCCTTCTTTGAAATTTAAAAGGAAGTCTCACATCCGAAGGAGTCAATGACAATCTCGGAATCAATACTTGTTGCCCCATACTTCTTCCTGTCAAAACCTTTGCCTCCAATATGTGGTCACCAAGTCTTGTAATAATGAGTCTCGTTCCATTGCACAACCCCATAGAATGATCTATGTTACGCAAAAGCATGACTGGAGTTCCAACTTTCAATGTGAGTTCATGATTGGGCACACCTGAGATACGAATATTATTTAAGAATTCTGGTGTATGCAAATCTGCTAAAAGATCAACATTAGAATCTGATTTACAAACACTATCAGAACTGAAATATGTTCTTGAAGGCTGTGAAGTGTTTAAAGAAATCATATAGTCATTTATTTCATCCACAACGCTTAATGATGGGGCTAAAATAGCCCTATCTCGGAAATAACTGAAATCATCCAAAATATTTGGATATTCTGGATAAGTGCTCTCAACAATTTTTGCTATTGGATCTCCTGAAGTGTGTAAAAGAAAATCTTCTGGTATTTCAATAGACACACAACCATCATTTGGTCCTCCAGCAACACCATCTCCAATAGAGGTAATCCACTCGGAAAAGCTTTTTATTGCTTCATATTCATCTGAATTGCTTGGACCTTGCAATCTCATATTTTTAGTCAATCTTAAAACATCACAATTGCTCCACAAATATGAAGAATTTATTGTAGCATTAACAATATCTTGTCGACTACCTTGAGGAATAACAGGTAACACTTGACGAAAGTCTCCTCCAAATACAATAGTTTTCCCTCCGAAAGGCATGTGGAGGCTGTTTGGACAAGAGAATCGCATAATATCACGCATACTTCTATCTAGAGCTTCAAAGCAGTATTTGTGGAGCATCGGTGCTTCATCCCAAATGATGAGTTTGGATTTTTCAATGAGACGTGCAATAGGACTACCTTGCTTGATGTTGCATGTTGAATCCTCATTCAATGATAGTGGTATGGCAAAACGTGAATGAGCTGTTCGTCCTCCTGGAAGCAATAATGAAGCAATGCCACTTGAAGCCACATTAATAACAATTTCACCTCTAGAACGAATAGCAGCAGAAAGTGTTCTCCACACAAATGTCTTCCCTGTACCACCATATCCATATACAAAAAACACGCCTCCTTGTTTTTTGTCGATTGCCTCCATTATTTTATCATAAATCTGATGTTGTTCATCAGTTAAATTTCTGAACAACTCCTGATGTTCTTCAAACAAAGCATCACGATCATATTGCATCTCTTCATGGATGAGTCTGTTATAAGAATACGATGTAGAATCTACGGGAGGAACATGCATTGGTTGATAGTCACGCAGACTCTTACCACGACTTTGCAACAAATACTCAAGCTCAATTAAAGTATACTTTTGCAATTCATCATCACTTAATACCAAATCTGCATAATTTTTAAACTTTAGAAGTTAGTTATTCAAAAAAATCTATATAAACTCATAACTTTTTTAAAAAATACAAAAATCATATTCCAATTACCAGGGTGTTGAAATATCAAACGGTGTTTATATTGTATGTCGTCTGCCAAATATTTCCAACATTTTTCCCAAACATAATATGGCCTGCTCAGTGATTCGGATAATAATAACACGACAAATAAAATTCTCAAAGATAGAGCAGAAGCCCACATACTTGCTTCTGAAATGCCATCAATATACTCCTTATCATCATCCAATAACCCAAGAGCGTAGCAAGCTTCTCGATAGGTATTATACAACACACCATCGATAGTTCTCAAATCTTCAAAACATGTCGGTCCACGAATATGATTAAGTAGACATCTTAGATAATATGACTCACCGCTTCCTGGTGGAACATAATAGACTCTTCCGATAGCAAATGCAACTTTTCTTGGCACCCATTCCCTCGTATTTTTCTTCCAGACAAACTTCTGAGGAAATTCTGCGTATGTCAATTCCCTTGCTTCTGGAAACTTCTTGTTTGCCTCCAACCAACCCAAGAACATACTATCTTTTACACTTTTTCGTCCAAGAACTGCATCAATACTATCATTATCAGAAAAAATGATGGTTTGTTCTTCTGGGAAGTGAAAACTAAGACGTTCCACAGCAGGATTTTTATACTGGATTTCAAAACCAAAAATGCGCCATGCTGCTTCACAGGGAGAGATATATCTACAATCGTAATATATTTTGATCTCATCAACGACATTATTGGCATCTTGGTCATTAAAGGTATTGCAAAACCCTGCCGTAACTCGATCTCGCCCTTTGTTAATGTACTTAAACAAATACTTAATTGATCGAGATTGATTGCACCACTCAACATTCATGTGTGCTCTATACTTCATCAATAAAAAACGATTGTGTGGTACTACGAATCTGTTATCTAACAAAACATTATTCTTTAAAACCCTTCGCCCATCATTTCTTCGTCTATAAATGGGGTACCCATCACCATCAACTGTCGTTTCGTTAGACCACTTTTTTGGAAAGTGTTTTGAGCACTTTCCATCAACCATGCATGGAGAGAAACTAACACCTACACCACAGGGACCATGCATCATAAGATCCTTAACGGCCTCGTAGTAGTCGGGATCAACTCTGCGATCAGGAATCTCTGTCGAGATAATTCTATCAACGTCGCTAACGGTTGGAAATTTAGAATTGTTCTCCAAAAATAACAATATGTGTGCATGGGGCAAACCACGTTTCTGGAACTCGATTGTATACACAACTGTAAAAATTTTAATATGTATTAAAAACAATCACAAAAAAAGATATTACACATTATATTGAATCAACATACCTGCTCTAACATCACCAAAAATTTTGTTGCGACGGAAATCCTTTATCAAAGAATCAAGCTTCACTTTGAATACACGACTTACAATATTTGGTCGATCTTCCGGCTGCAAGTTATGTTTTTTCAAAAATCTTGTAATCTCAGGCCATTTAGGATTGCATGTGAACGTAATAAACAAATCTGGGTATCCCGCCCATCTGCAAATTGCCATTGCATCTTGATAATTTTGAATCATAAAACGGGCACCGCCTGTAAATGTTGGAGGCAAAATTATTCTTTTTCCTTGTGTGCATGGATCATTCTCTCCCCGCAAGAGTGCGTCACTCAACCCTTTATACATTTCGCAACGCAATTTCTTTTGATGAGTTCTTATAAATTGTAGTCTAGCAGACTCAATCATGGTGTAGCCATCGATAATAAATTGTTGCAAAAGGCGCTTTGTTTTCAAAATATGAGAAACTTTGGTGATCCTTTGTTGTAAATGATATGCCAAAAATTCACGGATGCTAACTCTCCATCTTCCAGTTCCTGCAACTGTATTTGAAGTTGTGAGTGGGATATCTTCTCTGTATCCATCTTCACCATACGGGAATAACAAAGGATATTGCAATCCAAAATATGCTGGATGAAGCTCATTGATTCGCTGCAACTTTCCCGTCCGAGTCTGTACCAAAATGTCTCTTTCCCCAAGAGATTCATCAAAGTCTCCAACAACTAATGCCGCTACCTCGGAAACAGATGGTAGATTGTAAGTTCTCGCATCACTATTGCGCTTACCAATAAGCTTCAATTGTACATTGGAATCAACATTTTGATGCAACTTTTCCTTAGCCATGCGAAAACTTTTTACCAATACATTGTTCTCATTTAACATGTCCTTTAATTGTTCGACAATTTCCTGATGCAATTGGTTTTTTTGGCTGATATCCCTACATATTACCAATCAAATTGTATAAAATTGTTTCCTTGAAAAGAGAATATATATGAAATTTAAAAAATGCATTGAAACTTCAATAATCACAATAGAATTAAAAATTTACCTCACAGATGACATTCTATTTTCGATCTCATTTTCAGTATCGTAAATGTATAATTGGGCAAATTTAGGCCTTGATCCCTCTATTGGTAGTAAACTTCCAATCAAGTGATAGTTTTGACCATGAAGCTTGAAGATCGGAGGAGATTTTCCCTTATTGATATTGCACTCTATTTTACCTCCCATTGAGGTGAAAGCAAACATGCTATTATATGACCTAATATTTTCAAGAAAATGTTTGCTTCTCTGGTCTCCACCGCCAATTAGGTCACATAATACCAAAGGAGGTTCTTTCATGCACGCTAGCCGGACTTTCCCATGTGAGCAACACAAAGAATATTTTGGATTTTTCTTTGAAGATATTGATTCAATTCTCTCTTCAAACCAAAAATTTGCTCCACAATGTGGACAACTATATACTGGGTCATCAATATCCCAATACTCTGCATAAAAATATTTTAATGCATTTCAAAAATTTTAAGAATATTATATTAAAGAATTCCACAATGATATGTTTGTGGATTAAAAAAACCTTTCGATGCATTTGTTATGCTCGGAAGTTCTTCATAGTCTACACATTCATCATCTACGTCATCTTCGTCAATATCGGATTCATCTAATACTAATGAATGTGGTGTGTCTTCAAGATCTTGATCAAAAGTTCTTGAAGGAATTGATCTTCTTAAACCACTTTCTTTGATAGAAGTACACGTAGAACTGGATGGTAGGAATTCATCATCGTGAGGGATGCGTGTAAGATGATTACTGTCTTGCATGATTTCATTATCTCCACCACTGAAAGAACCTATATAGTTATGCTAATGAATTAAAATCATCGCAATAGCATTTTGAAGGTATGCTTCTATTTGCATTATTACATAATACTCACCGATTTCATTAGTATTTACATGAGTTATATTGGGAGACTTTGCCTTGGATTCCAAGATGGTATTGTCATTGGTCGAATGGGACTCACTTCTATCAGAAACTCGTTGAGCTTGATGATAAATAACATTTCAAATAATCACGTAAAATGAGATTTCAACATAAGTTCAAATTGACATAGAAAACAGAATATAAATTTTATAGAAATAACATTTTACCATTTGTAATATCCACCAAAGACGGTATATTGAGGAATCCTGAAACAATTCCTCTGAAGGAAATCCCTTTATGAGGAACAAATGAACTATCATCACCAACTCGTGCGTGTTTTACACCTTGAGGATGGATATTTTCTATATTTTGGAAAAAATCTATATAAGAGTAATAATAATAATAATAATAATAACAACAACAACAACAACAATAATAATAATAATAATAATTAAGTGTGAATATAACGTCACTTCTGATAAAAATAAATTATACCTTCGTGGAAAACGTACTTCTCTAAAAAAGTTCAATCTAATGTTAAACACTTCAAATATTTATACATATACAATTTTTTGTATATTTTCTTTTATATAATTAATATGTAAGTTGGATTTTTTCTCTCCTATTGTTAACTATGTCATTTTTTTCTATAAATAAAATAACCTTGTATATTTATCAAAAAACACCTTGTAAATTTTTTTATTTATTAATTAAGAGGCCGTTTGACAACAATGTTTTTCAGCTTTTCAGGCTTATCAGCTAACTTTTTCACCAAACACATAATTTTTTGCTTTGGCGCGCTAAATTGTGTAATAAGCTGAAAATGTAAGGTTGGAGTTATTTTTCTGACTATATTGGCAGAAGTTTCTATATATGACCATTTTAGCTATTTTACATATAATTTTTTATTTATTTTATTAATAAAATATATTTCAAAAATAATTTTTTCTTAAATCATCTGAGTCAGTCAGTCAGCCAATGCAGCCACTTCAGCCATAACTTCATAAATTTATGCAGAATCAGCCAAATCAGCTGATTTTAGTGGTACCAAACTTGCTCTAAAATAGGCTATCACAAATGGTTAATGGGCCTAATATATGTTAAGAATTCTCTATTTCAAAACATGCCAGCCCAAACACCTAATTTACCGACCTAATTAGACTACCTAATACACGTATATAATCGAAGGAACATTCTGGGTCTCTCGCGATTCATATTCCGCCGCTGCTCTCTCTTGCTTTCTCTCGAAATTCAGGGCTTCTTTCTCAAAATTCAGGGCTTCTCTCTCGAAATTCAGGGCTTCTCTCTCGAAATTCAGGGCTTTTATCGCAACTACCCTATTGGAATGAAAGTTTTTGCGGTTGATGATGACCTACTTTGCTTGAATATCATGGTATGCCTTTTCTGTCTTTTCTTACTAAAACCGAACTACAGTTCATTGATTTTATGTTTGAAAATTTTACAGAATTGGGCCGATGATTTCTTGTCCATGAGTTACAGATTTGTGAATTTATTGGCTGTGGAGTTTACTGATTTGCCGTTTAGAACTACAATTCTACCGCGTAAGTTGTTAATACTCCTATAATCGTTTTAGTATTTTGTTGAATTCATCCGGAAGCAGATTTTTGAATCACACACACACACACATATAAAGAATGTCTTCACTTTCCAGACCACTTCTATATGTATGATGTTGGCAATTCATTGCTTCGAAAATTTGTGTTCCTTCCTTGCTCGAGGAAGACGATTTAGTTGTCCTTCCTTTTATTACTTTAAAACTGGACAGATTGATTAATTGGGTGCGAGTCAATTATTTGGTCTGTTTTTTTTTTATCTGGTCCATTCAAAATAATGGTAAACATGGCCTGTAAAATCATGTTGGGCTGACCTGATCATCACATAATAAATCCTTTTTTATAAACAAAGTATTAGTAACTAATTATGTACTTTGTTTAATCTGTTGTGGTTTTGTAATTATTATCAAATGTCATTTGCAGGTGTCCTGCTTTTATTTTAATTACTATCTTAATAGAGCTCAAGAACGAATCAACAGTTAAGTAATTAACTCTTATGATTAGCATCATTTTCAATACTATTTGTTTAGAAAACAGGAAAATACATTTCAAAACATCTTAAAATCTTTCAATTTCACAGTTTTATTCTGTCATTCTCACAGTTTTAAAACAGTTAAGTAAATAGTTTTTTCTGAAATTGTAAATAGTAAAGTATGAAAATATGCATGCGATAGAACATGTCCTTTGCCATAGAATCTATTATGTAAAACTTTATATTGTGTGTTTTCTTTCTCAAACTTTTTTTGAAAAAATAAATGCAACAAAACTATGTTTGATGAGTTATGATTCTACAATAGCCTTTTTCTCTGAAACCACACACAGCACTCATGTATTCCTCTTCAAGTTGGAGTATTTTTACATAAAAATGTCACATCTAAGTATGACAACATTTTCTAAGGAAAAAACAAAGTGAAAATTTTTATTTTTCGACCACTTAACTATACACTATATACCATAGACAAATGTATAACCATATGTTATTGTTGACAAATGTATCGAAATCTGATCAAACTCAGAATTTTCATATTAAAAGATATGTATCAATAAGAGATGCCTGTATTTATCTTTGGATTTTGCAGAAGTCTAAAAAAGTTGAGATTCTGCAGAATGTGTAACATAAAGCAGCATTTTTTAGAAATTATACACGATTAAAAAAGGAAAGATCAAATGGTGTTGCAAAAAATTGAAACAAAGTTTTCACATATATGCTGCACAAAAACTTTATAAAATGTGCTCAGTTGTGCTCAATATTTATTTGCTATTTTATTCAAAAGGATTTTGTAAAATTAATAATAACATAACTTTTTTAATCAGTCATCATGCTACTATATTCTTTTTCCATAAAATGAATACATATCATGAAATTTAAATGAAGAATCATTCCTAAAGAATGAGTAATAGTTTTTTTTTTTTATTGAAAATTGTAGGTGATGCAACCTGTTCTGTGTCACACAATCTATTGTTCACAAACTATCATCGGCTACCCTCCTACATATCCTAAAGTATTGACTTATGATGTGTATTGATATCTATCTATTTTAGCACATTCCATTGAGAGTAGGAATGCATGAAAAACACATGTTTTTCCCATAATCTATTATTCTTATGTTTTCTACTTCATAAAAACATTCATGCCTCAAAAAGTTTTTTTAGAGTTCTTATGTGCTTTAAATAAAAATTTCATCTACGGTAGCATCAGAGGTTTCAAAAATCAGATGCTTCAAATTTGTTTAAAAAACTCAAAGTGAAAAAATTTATTTTTTCAACCACTTACTACATTCAGGTCAATGTGTTTTGGTTGCATCTGACTCTTGACTTTTTTTGAGAAAATACTTATTTTTGAACGGACTTAATTATATCCAATAGGTCATCTTAACCCATCAAATGTATAGCCATACATTATTGTTGATACATCTTTTTATTATAATGCAGATTGTGGATTATGTCAAATGTGTCACAATATTAACGATGGACATGTTATCAAACTCAAAGTATTCAAATTAGAAGATAAGTATCACTAACATATGCTTATAATTATCCAATGATATTTTGCAGAATGTGAAACATGAAGATGCATTTTTTAGAAATTATACGGGATTAAAAAAGAAAGGATCAAAAGCGTTGAAAAAATCTTTATAGAGTATCTTTATAGAGTTACAGACTTATCTGGAGGTTCACTAAATCTATATATATATATATATATATATATATATATATATATATATAAACAAAAATAGACACGTACCCTTATCTGGAGGTTCACTGCATCGTCTCTTTCCTTTGCCTATTAGCGTTACAGACTTTGTCAGCTTCTTCATAAAGTGAATTATTTAGTGAGAGCACCTAGAATTGCTTTCATAAATTTCTCCTCTACCAAACATACAGAATTAACAAATGAATAGATTTATGCTGCTTAAATAGCATCTAGTACAGCTCGACTGACATTCCATTAATTAAAAACTATTATCTGGTATTTAGAGATTCGTTGTTTAAGAGTTCGAGACTGCAGCCATATTAAATATCAATCCTTTCTAGTGGGATTATACAGTCACAATAATTTAGGCACACTGCTCGATAGTATTTGTCTGTCTGTGTCTATCACATCATTTAGGCAGTTGCCACAATTATGGTTGGGAATGAACCGTCACATTTATGTAGGCACATTGTAACACGGCACTACATCATTATTATACACAAACAGTATATTTAAACCCCTATTTTTTGTCTGTCCGAGAATGTATAATTTATATTCTATTTTGCTGAGGTTTTTCTTCTTTTCTCAACGATCATGAAAACATTTTTAAATTTTGTCTACTACTTATATTTATGTTTAAATTACCTCAAACCAAATTCATTGTTCATCGATTTATTTTTTTGGCTTAAACTTTTAATGCTTTTTAAAATGTTTTTTAATAAGTTACTTTTATTTACAAAATGTTTAACTTTTTTTATTAATTTATTCTTTTTCAAAAAATGATATACTTCAGAAAATACAATTCAAATTTAATTTAACTTATTTAAAAATGGTTTATCTTTGTTTAAATGTACTATCATAATTACTTATTCACCCTCCAACACCCTTTTGCAATAAATATAATTTTTTTTGTGCAAAATGTTATGATTAATATTAGCTCTCTTAATTATCTTAAAGGTCAATTTGTTCTTTAGTTTAATGCATGAAATTGTATTTAGATACGGTATATATTATTTTCTAATCAGTTAATTTAAAAATGTTAAATATAATTCATAGGATGCATATTGAGTATTTTCTAGACAATAAAGGAATTATTTTATCTGTAAAATAATCCTGACTATTTATTACTACCTGAAGTGAAAAATACCAAAAATAACTATTTCTCATTAGATAACAATCTGATTTTTATAATTACAAAAATTATAAATCATGTACAAATGAGAATTTATTTTCACTATCAAATTACAACTTATACTCTTTAGTATTCCTATTTTTCCTCTTCCTCATGCTCCGAGTCCTATATCCTCAAACTAAAATCCACAATCTTGACACTATTCTCCAACCACCTGCAAGTAATAGACAAAAACTGTTTTGTACCTCTTATCATTAGTCAACAAACACTGTTTTGTATCTCACCCAATTAGAGATCTACCATACCTTCCTTTGTTATAGATGATGTCGTACATAACCTTCCAACATAAGATAAAGATACACACACATGTATGCACACACATGTATATATACATATGTACACACACATATAACAAATTAACAAAATAACAAATAACCATAAAATAACCAAAAACAAATAACATTAAACAAACAAAAAACATCCACTTAAGTTCCATCCACCAATTGCATCTTAGCCACAACAATAAGCATCACAAAACATCACAAAAGGTCTCATAACAAAGTTTCAGCACTTGGAATATTGATATTCCTTGATATTTCAAGAATCACAAAATAAAGTTTCATCATCAAAATGCTTAAACAATCATTCTCTTCTGAGATCAATCCTTTTCTTGTTTTATAACAGTCCTCAATTTCTTGTTAGGAGCTGAAGTGGAGAATTCCCCCATCAAAGAACGCTTCACCTTATCTTCATCGATTTGTATCACCTCCCTATCATTCTTGTCCAGCAAAGGACTATTCACTTCTCTTCCCGATGAGCTGATCTGGAATTTTTCAAATTATAAATATTATAAATAATCTAAATAACCAAACTTAATAAAAATTACACACTTCACAACAATTAAAATAGCATACCTTTTCACTTCCATATTGCCTCATTAGAGCAGCAAATTCATCATCATCCTTAACAAAAAATACCAAAGATAAGTATATTACTAAGTTACAATATACTATATTAACAGTACATTATGTAATTTATTATTTAAATATTTACCTCGTTAGATCCACTTTTTGAAGAATAAAGAGAAATAACAGTAGAATCGTCATTCACTTCAAGGACACTAAAAGTTCTTGTTCCCCGAAAATTCCTATCATCTTGTTTGCTACGCACTTTAAAGAGCATTTGAGAGTCCACCAATCTTTCTATCTCTGTCGGGTAATAATCTGGACCAACTTCCTTCTATATAGTTTATGAAATACATCAACATCTACCTCAAACATAAATTTTTAACATAAACAACAAACCAAATACCAACCTTCTCTATTTCATTCTTAAGTGCATTTGCACTCTTCCCAATCAAATCAGTCATCTGCTTATCCCATAACACAAATGTTGTGCTGCCTGTGGAATCCATCACTCTGACATTGACCCTATACCTACAAAACATTAAATTTATTTAAATTTAATTACAGGTTACTGTCCATTTCCCAAATAAAATGTCTACAATTATAATGCATACCTCAGCCTAACTTCATTAGCATTACAGTTTGAACAATGAAAACCATCTCCTATTTTCTCAGCTTTTCGACTGCATTCTTTGCAAGAAAGGTAGCACCAGTCCTTATTGCTATCTATCATGAAAATCTCAGCTAAAACCCAATGTTTGTGATCCTACAAAATGTCTTATTAGTTCCTCAATTATGCATATATTCACAAACACACATGGATATGTATTTTTCTACCTCAGTCAACTTTAACAAATCATCAATTGTGATTAATTCCACATTTCCTGTAGTTATGTCATCATCACAAGTTGTTTGAGATGACACTGTTAGTGCAAGATTTGCATTTTTGTTAACAGGCAGCCTGTTTCATAATTGAGAGATTAATTTAATTGCGATGTTAAACAGGAGAAATGTATAAATTACTTTTCCCGAAATGCTTTAACATTTACAATATAATACCTTGATCTCAAATCTCTGAATTCCTCATCATCACCATTTATAATCATCTTAGTGGCATCATGTACATTAGATGCGTACACCATTCCTGCATTTATGTTATTTTACTTTATTGATTTGTCAATACATAATAATTGTGAAAAAATCCTAATAGTTCTGAATTTTGTGGATGTGATTTTTATTATAAAATCCCTGCAATTACCGAAGTACATATTTATCATTTTTTCTCAACTTTTTTCCCAACAAACTGACCTTGATATTTGTGAGCACGACAAAGCTGTAGCAAAATTATAGTAGAATCATATTTTTGATGAGGGAAAGAGTTGTATTCATCTATCATTTTGTCACCCCAAAGTGAAAACACAATGGTATGCCCCCTATAAAAAAAATAGTTAAGTATTGTTTACTTCCATAATAGTCAAAATGAATATAATATGTATTTCATTATAGTAGTACTTTTGCCTGTTACAAATTTAAACATACTTACTCAGCATCAGTTACAACCAACTCCTTTAACCTTGAATAACCATTCTTTCGTTTAACTACCTTCTCTGGTTTAGGATATTCCACTTTCCCTATGACATCTGTAATTTTCAAACTTTGCATTAGATTAGATTATATAAACATTTTTATCTTTGGCAATATGACAATACCAATTTTATACTCAACCCCAACATAAATCGCATACCAAATGCTTGACTCTCGTCTATATCCTGCTGCTCTTGTAAAGCTGGAAATGATATCAGTTCATATGGTGTTGCTGGAAAATCATTGAAAGGCCACTCAAAGGCATTTGTTTTTTTTATGAATTCCCACTTGAAAACATTTTCTGTTGTACGGAATGACATTTTGTTATCTTGGACCATAAAATCCTTGATTGCATAAATACCACCCTCTTTGAAGAGAGGTTCAAATTTGTACATTACATTCTTTTTTATATGAGCATGAATCCTGGTTCCCTAAAAATACACAAACAACAAACGGTTATGGAATCCAAGTTGCATCCTGGCAATTTAGGATGCATCTTTAAAGAAATTCTACAGGATTGTAAAAGGTGTAACTCCATACACAGCAAATTTTTCACAAAATATACCTCCTGATCATGGAATATGCATTCTAAGGAAGCTGGAATATGGTCATGTGGTGTAACTCTATACACTCGTATTGCTCGGACTTTTACTCCCCAATTAGACTTGCTCTTGTCTATTTCTTTTATCAACGACCACCAAGGCATTTTAAATTTTGATTATGAGTCAGATTAAGACAAAACTGAGTTTATGATCTCACTTTGTCCCTATTTATATACAGGAATTGATTCGGATCTCATAAAGTCAAGAAAGAGATGCGTTAAATGCAAAATTTTGGGAGGTGGATTTGCCTACAAAACAGCCAATCAGCTGTTTTTTGGAATACGAACTGTTGATTTTTGGAATACGAACTATTGTTTACTGTTTCTTATTTTGTAGCTTACTCTGTAGAAACGTACATCCTTTACTTTTAGACATGAACTGCTGATGTGTTATCATTAAATTTTTAATACTTAAATATTTTTATATTTTATATTTTAATATATTAATAGCTGCTGTTGTCAATTCTGACTTCATTGATCTGGAAGCTTCTTTGTTTAGGCGGGAACTTCCTTAGGAAGTTTTCTTTTGCTTTTATATTATAATAGATTTTATTGTGTTCAATTTAATTGTAATGACATTTGTTTAATAGACTAGTATTAGTGGGCTTTGTATTTAGAATAGTGGGCTAATTAATTAAAGTAGGCGTGCGGCTATCCTATTGTAAATAGGATGTTCGTTTCTCTCTCCTATAAATATAGGTTGAGGTTCGAACTATTCTAAGAGTTCTACACATATTATTGTCGCACGCATATCATTCTTCAAGAGCTCCTACTTTATTCTCTCTCTAAACTTCATACGTATATCATGTATTCACAGATTTATCATTATGAATATACGGTATTGTCGCACGCATATCATTCTTCAAGAGCTCCTACTTTATTCTCTCTCTAAACTTCATACGTATATCATGTATTCACAGATTTATCATTATGAATATAAGGAGGGAAGCGCAGCCTGGCATCCACCGAATCGACATGTACCATCATCATGTGTGGGACGTGGCGCATAGGATGAGCTGCTCCTTGGACGCTATAAGCAATGGGTGGCGCCAAGAGGATGAGAAGCAACGCTTGATAATGATCCGACATGTATTGCTCTCGTTCTCGTACATTGGCAAGAAGGACTTCGTGGCATACATGGTTGACAGGGGGAGGGGGGCTTGTAAACATCCATATCATCACCAGAAGAGGTGTTACCACTTTAGCTGATTTCCCCACTTGATTCTGCCTGTGCCGCTTCATCACGAACGACGCCATCACCTACGTCCTCCCAAACCACATCGTGAACATGGCTCGCAGATAATAGAAAAGTTGAGGGGAGGAAATGAGGACATAGAAAAGTTGAGGAGGGGGATGAACGGCAGAAGGTTTACCTGAGCAACCAGGGAAGGTGACCGGTAAAAGAACTCTCGCGTAGAGAGAAGCTAGAGCAAATGCTAGAGAGGGAGAGGGAGAGGGAGAGGGAGAGGGAGAGGGAGAGGGAGAGGGAGATGGAGAGGGAGAGAGAGAGAGAGAGAGAGAGAGAGAGAGAGAGAGAGAGAGAGGGGGAGAGAGAGAGAGAGAGAGAGAGAGAGAGGAGAGAGAGAGAGAGGAGAGAGAGAGAGAGAGAGAGAGAGAGAGAGAGAGAGAGAGAGAGAGAGAGAGAGAGAGAGAGAGACCCTAAACCCTTAGGCTAAGACCGGAAGGGATATTTATATGGGAGGACGCCTAAGAGACACCCTATGACAGAGCAACACATGGCGACGGGCATCTCCCATGAGGCCATGACATGTGTCACACGGATACGAAGCATCAAGTGATCATTAGAAGTGAACCGCCAGTTGGAACCTTCACCTCACGACCTCGAGAAGCGCGCCGACAACTGTCATCTATTCGAACGGGGCATAATCTTCGAACCACAAACCAGAGAATGGGTCGCACGCCATGCAAATTCTCTCTCTACTTCTTCATGTCCCAAGCACACCAAGAACATTAGAAGTGGGGCGAACACAAATATCCCCAACGGGCTAGCCAATCCAACGGCCTAGGAAGCAAACCCAATCTCGGGTGACACAGACCGAATGGCATGGGTCGGGCGGACATAACACTTGAAGAGCTCCTTGACTGCTATGTACACGAACCCAGCCTACTCCACTAGGGAGTTGGTAGGAAAGTAAGAAAATGGCAGGAAGCGCATTTAATGCACCATATATTGGAAATTTTATGATTGTGGAGTAGCCACCAGGGCTCCCAACATCACCACCACCATTTACTACATTGTAGTATAAATACTAACATTTATTCATTAGAAAAGGTTGGCAAACTTGCATTCAATAATTTATCTTCTCTCTCTACATTCTTCTTTAAGTCTCAACTTAGAATTGAAGCGGCTACACTTTAATGGATCGGGCTCGATGGGATGTCCCATAATCATTCAAAGTCAATAATAGAACTTGCTACACTTTACCTTCTTCTTTTCTCATTGCTTCTGTCTTCACATTAATTAATCACTCACTAAACCAACCAAAGTATAAAGATCCAACGAAAGCCCAAGGGTTTTGCCTTGTGTGGCAAGGACTTTGAAATGCGAGGACTCAACGTTCACACTTACTTTGTTAAAAAATGAAACACATACCCCTATATAAAAATGAATTCAACCACATGTATCTTTTCCGTTCTTTTCACTATATAAAAATATATTAGTCATTTATGCTAATAGTGCTTTGTAGGGATGGACTGGGTCGATTCGGCCATACCCGATACCCGGCCTGGCCCGTTACTCTGCGGGACCGAGACTGGGGGCCTAAAGGAGGGGTATTAGGGGCGGGCTACGGGACGCATATATGGTGGACCAGCCTGACCAGTCCAAGACCGGTTCGAGCCCAATTTTTTAATGTTTTTATTTTTTTGCATTCATTGGCTTCTAGGCAGGTGGGGCTGAGTGGTTTAGGGGGTTTGGGGGATTGGGGAGTAGGAATAAATCAGAAAAACACAAATTGAAAAAAAAAACTTAGACCCGACCCGGGTCTGATACCATCCCGAGCCGGTACCGAGCCTTCATCCCAAAATCCCAATCCCGCCCAATCCCGGCCCAGGGCCTAACCCGACCAGGCCCGGTCCAAGCCTAGTGCTATGGTCTATATCTCATCACACTTGCTAAAGCAAGAATGTGTTATAACAAAATGTATTTTATTTATTTTATTCATTAGACTAATCTAGTAAGACTCAACTATAAATAAAACATCAATTTAAATTTCAATGGCTTGTCTAAGTATCCTTCCAAACGTTTGCTAATATCTTCAAACTGTGATAAAAATTGTTCTGTAATATGATATTACCTCGCGCTCCAATTAAATTTGTCATCTTCATATTAGGTGAGAAATAAGAAAAGCAAAAGTTTTATGATAGAGAATTGTGTAGATGAGAGAGAAATGAGCAGAATCACAAATTAGAAAAGCAGAACAAATTCAAAGAGATGCAATTGTAAATTAATATGGAAAAGGCTCATTTGCTAATTCTTGTGCCACACCATTTTCTCTGTAATTTTTATATAGTTGATCTATGTCTTCAAGTAACTATATTCTGAGCAAATGTGGGGGTTAAATTCACATGTCTCACAGAGGCCGCAGCAGAGGGTAATCTTCTAGAAGTTCTCGCTCTGATAGTGTGTCATTTTCATTTTGTGGGGTCCATAGAACCTCCACTGCCTGCACAAGGGTGATTAAGAATCACTAAAAAGTGAGCAAAAGTAAATCCTCATTCCTCAATGTGTGTTTGAAGCATACCAGTGTTTGGCTTGAGGGAATAGAGGCAAGTTTATGTAGAGCTTCTTTCAGATCTCCACTACCATTAACACTAGGCAGCTTATATGAACCTTTCGCAGCCACTAAGATAGTCACCTGACCAACAAAACGTACAGATAAGATGTATACCCTCTAATGTGCCTTTTCTGCACGAAAACGTAAATTATCAATTTTAGTGCTTACCACAATATATTCATTACTAAATGCACTTGCTCTCTTGCTTGTTGAACTTTTCCTTTTAATCTTATTCACATTAACAAGTGTTTCTTCATCAAATTTACCTCGTTCCTCAATTGAAAGCTGATTGAATAGTTTTTCACCTTGTTCCATGCTCTTCATTATATCAACCTGTGTACGTAAAAGGAAATACTCCATCTGTATCATATTAGTTGCAACATTGAAATTTACACACTATTCATGTACACTACTTTGACTACATTTTATTTATTAATGTATGTGAATTATTTTTTTTTGAAATATATTGTTGAATTCGTCTCATTACAAAGTTACATAATTTGATTTTTAAATTTTTTACTAACAGGGAATTAAATATAATAATGATGGTCAAAGTTGTGCATTGGTAAGCGCGAAAAGGGAATGTTGCAACTAAAAAAGAACGGAGGATAGTATCATATTTGGGGATTCAATTACTCTAGGTGAGACATTTGTGGTTCTCGTCTTTCACTATTTTTTCATTTCTTTTTTTCCTAAAAATGATCCCCCAAATTCATAAGTGATGATGTGCCAAGTACCTTGTAATCTGATGGCATCACTGCTATTCTCACAAAGAGACGGTCGCTGGTTCAAGTCTCATCCCAATCAAGGATGTTGGCATTAACAAGAGCAGATGCTATAATAGGTTTAGAAGATTATTCCAAAAAAAGAGATGATGTAAGAAATCCCTTTATACTACCTGCAAACTTGAAGCCATTACAAGCTTGGGTTCAAAGCATAATTTGGAGATTCCACACTTTCCAACGGTTTGCCACCAGAACATGGACGATAATCTAGCTATTCATCTAGTGAGTAGCGATATGAGACATATCCACAGTACACGATAATTGAGAGTACATACTTACAAACAATAAGAATTGACTTTGTTATTTGACTTGAAAGGTGAAACCATTTATTAGTGTAGAATTTCAAAATCATACCATTCTATGAATTAATTGGAACTTTAACAACCTCGATTCCCACTGTTATTAATAAAATATTGGGCCTCTTTTCAATGTGTTGATATGTATGAAAACAAGAATGATAATGGATGAAAGGGTGCCATTTGATCTTACGAAGTGTCTCAAAACAATTCTCTCTACTCAAACACAAGAACTGATTATTTGTAAGAGATTCAAAAGATTTGTACTTATTTTAAATTCACACTCATTGTAAAGTTTACTGGTTTATCTTAAAACCATCATTAATTGTTGGTTGATCCCTTTGTAAAACCAACAGTAGGTCCGTAAGAGGTTGGTGGTTATTCCTCGTGAAAACAATTCTTTTGATAACGCTGGAGTCTAGGACTATTTGGCCCAAATAATCTCACACATTTCCAGGCCCTTAAATTAATAACTAGGCAAACATCCAGTGGCCCTTTGATTAACAACTGAAAAGACCCTCAGAATTTTAGAATTGAGATTATTGGTTGATGCTCTTTAAAAACATTTGTTAGTTTGGTTTGCCTTTTGTGGAAAAGTATTGTTGTATTTCATATACTTCATATTAAATGCTATACAAGAAGCTATATTTATAGCTATATTTAGAGCATTAGGGTTTCCTATACAAGATATACAAATGGGCTAAGCCCAATACTACTAGGGTTTCCACACTCCCTCTCAAGCTGGAGCATATAAATCATATGTACCAAGCTTGTTACAAATATATCCCACTCTAGGACCTCTAAGAGACTTAGTTAAAATATATGCAAGTTGTCCACTTGTAATCTTCTCTCGGATAAAATGACAATCAACTTCAATATGCTTAGTTCTCTGATGATATACCGGATTTGATGTGATATGCATTGCGGCTTGATTGTCGCACATGAGTTGAACCGGTTTTGTGTTTCCATATTTAACTCTTGGAGAAGATGCTTCAGCCATAAGATTTCACATATAGCAAGGGCCATTGCACGATATTCTGCTTCAGCACTAGATCTAGCAATTACTATCCATCGGACATCCGGCCCAATCCGCATCACAATATCCCATAATATCACGGTGGCCTCGATCTTCGAACAACAATCCTTGCCCTGGTGTTTTCTTGATGTATCTCAAAACTCGGATAGTTGCATCCCAATGTCCATTACATGGCTTATCAAGAAACTGACTAAGGACACTCGCCGCAAATGAAATATCTGGTCTCGTGATGGTAAGATAATTCAATTTGCCGATGAATCTTCTATATTTTCCTTTGTTGGGCAAAAGATCTCCTTATTCTAACAAAGTTTGACGTTCGGATCCATTGGTGTGTCCACCGGCCTGCACTCTAGCATACCTGTTTTATCAAGAATATCCAATGCATACTTTCTTTGCGAGAGGGCAATTCCATTTTGAGACTGCGCGACCTCAATGCCAAGGAAGTATCTGAACTTTCCCAAGTCTTTTGTTTGAAATTTGCTAAAGAGATATTGTTTGAGAAGGGCAATTCCTTGTTCATCGCTACCTGTAATGACAATATCATCAACATACACAACGAGATAAATACATTTGTTGCCTGCAGAATGTCTATAGAATATAGAATGATCAACATCACTGCGATGCATGCCAAAGTTGCGGACAACGGCACTGAACCTTCCAAACCTTGCACGTGGAGATTTCTTCAAGCCATATAACGAACGGCGTAATCTGCACACCAAACCAGACTCCCCCTGAGCAACAAATCCAGGTGGTTGCTCCATATAAACCTCCTCGTGCAAATCCCCATGAAGAAATGCATTTTTAATATCCAGTTGGAACAATGGCCAGTGGCTCATCGCTGCCATGGATAAAATTAAACGAACCGATGCAATCTTTGCTACAGGAGAAAAGGTGTCAGTGTAATCCAATCCATAGATTTGAGTATACCCTTTCGCCACAAGGCGTGCTTTAAAACGATCAATCTTCCCATCAGGCCCAACTTTAACCGTGTAAATCCACCGACACCCAACCATTGATTTGCAAGTGGGAAGTGGGACTAGGTCCCATGTGCCACTAGAATGAAGTGCCTCCATCTCAGCCAACATGGCTTTACGCCACTCCGGGTTGTCCAGGGCCTCATGTGTGGTTTTAGGAATGCATATACGAGACAAGTGTGAAATGAAAGCATAGTAAGGCGTAGAGAGGCGGTGATAACTCAAAAGGTTATATATGGGATGTGGGTTCAAAGTAGAACGCGTACCTTTTCGGAGGGCAATGGGCAAATTATCCTGAGTATTTTCGTGTGCTGTGGTAGCTGATGGTGATGATACGGGATCCGTCGTAGGGGAATCAATCGGCGTGGCCACAGGCACAATGGGAGGAGGTCGAGGTCGTCGATGGTATACTTGTAATGGACGGTCTACCATAGGAGAGCAATGTGGGTGCTCATCAGATGGGGGTGAATGGGAGTCTCCACATGGATTGGTCAGAGATGTGAGATGAGGTCCAAACATGATGCGGTATCAACTGAAGATAATGGATAATAAAAGGACAAATCAATGAAAGTGACATCGGCTGGAATAAAATGTTTCTTAAATACTGGAGAATAACAATGATAACCCTTTTGGAGACGCGAATACCCAAGAAAGATGCACTTTATTGACCTAACCGACATTTTAGCTAATCCGGGTGTCGTATCATGGACAAAACACACACACCCAAACACGTGAGGTGGTAATGGAAATAAATCACGATCGGGAAACAAAATAGAATAGGAAATTTCATTATTAAGAATCGAGGAAGGCATTCTATTTATTAAGTGACACGCAATGAGCACAACATCTGCTCAATATTGAGGTGGTGTATGGGAATGTAATAATAGGGTACAAGCAGTATCAACCAAGTGTCGGTTCTTGCGTTCAGCAACCCCATTTTGTTGAGGCGTGTGCACACAAGAAGATTGGTGAAGCATACCTCGTGATGTCATGAATTGATTAAAGGATGCCCCAAAAAATTCTTTAGTATTGTCACTGCGTAAAATTTTGATAGAATGACCAAACTGAGTTTGAATTTCAGCATAAAAAGTTTGAAAAATATGAAACAATTCAAAACGCTCTTTCATTAAAAACAACCATGTGTAACGGGAAAAGTCATCCACAAAAAATAACAAAATAACGGAAACCTAGAGTAGAAGTGACTCGATACGGACCCCATACATCTGTATGAACTAAATCAAACGGTGATGTAGCCCGTTTATTGAGTCACCTTGGAAAGGATTTACGAGGTTGTTTTCCAAGGTGACATGACTCACAATCTAAAGATGAAAGATTTGAGAAACCTGAAACCATACATTGAAACTTTTAGAGACTAGGATGACCCAACCGATTATGTAAGGTAATAGCAGGTTCAATTAAAACACGAGCGATTGGATCAAGAGGATGGAGATGATACAGACCTTGAGATTCATGTCCGACGCCAATCGTTTTCACGTACAACGGTCCTGCACAATCACAGAATCAGCAGAAAATGTTTCAGAACAATTAAGAGCACGTGTAATTTTTTTGACAGAGACAAGGTTAAAAGGGGTGTTTGGGACATATAAGACTGAATCTAATGGTAAGGATGAAAGTGGAAGTGCTTGTCCAATACCCGAAGCCGAAGTTTGAAGGCCATTAGCAAGAGTAATCAAAGGAAGATTTCAGTGCTTGGTAATATGGGATAAAAGATGGGGATTACCAGAAATAAGGTTTGAGGCACCTGAGTCAATGATCGATGAGCCTGTTGTGTGTGAAACACAAGCGGTAGACAACCCGGGTGTGGATAAAGGCATATTAGTCAACCTAAATTGCTGATATGGTGCATATTCTTCCGGTGATAGAACAATGGGAGATGGCGGTAGCTGAGCAACATGGGCTGAGGGAGGAGGTCTCCCATGTAATTTCCAACACCGGTCTTTAGTATGACCAATGTTATGACAAAAATCACATTTAGGACGATTTCGCCTCGAGCATCCTTTGTTGTTTCCACCTTCAGCTCTCATAAAAGACATTTTTTGACTTTTTTTGACTTTATTTTTTGTTTTTTTTTTTGACTTTTTTATTTGTTTTTAAGCAAATGAAAAATCAGCCAAATCAGTAAGGTGACTAATCTGCTCAAGCTTAGAAATGAGTCTGGACCTTAAAAGTGATACCTTAGAAGCGTAAAACAACACAAAATATGGAAGCAGTAACCTTAGAA